GGATTGAGGGATTGAGGAACTGGCCAGGATAGAGAATCACTGAAATAAATTACTCATGGGTCCAGCAGAAGAAAATCACTCTGTGAATCTTAATTTAAAATTGACATTCCATGTCCTATAAAATGTAAGTGTATACAGGATTGCATAAGAGACCCCATGGTACCATGAACTACACTCGAATGAAAAAGCTCTGTTCTATCATAGAGTGAAACCACCATGCTAGTAGTACACATCCTGTGTTCAGGAGAGTTTGTGGGGATGATCCAGAGGATTTTTGAATTGACTCATCAGTTAATGATTTATCGGTGTCTCCCAGTAAAAACTTAAAAATGTCATTTTAGATTTTACTAATAAAGTAATATTTTCATAGGGAAAAAAGGCTATAATCTTATCATCCAAAAATAACCAGTTAATACCTTTCTGTACAGTCTTCCAAACCTAATTTAAAATGCTTTTAAATACTAAGAGTTGATAACATTTCTTTCCCTTCTAAGCTTTATCAGTTATAAATGCCACTGCTCAATGGGAGATAAAATTGAAGGCCTCTAGGATGCATGCTCAAATGCTGAACCATTTATTAATGATCCACAAAGATAAGTCTAGATATTTAGGATGTTTAGGACATTTATAGCAATTTGACATTTTTATTGTAGTTTTTAAAACATTGGTCCATGACAAATTGAAGTTTTTAGATAGTTTGATAGCACATAGTCTCTTGTCTGGATACTTTACCAAGTTCTGAGTACCAGTCTGCTCCCTGGAGAAGCCATAGTAAGTGTGGTAGGAAGTGTGGAATGAAAAAGGCTGTGGAATGTTCTCTTTACACATGCATATTAGGTGTGAGGAACATGACCACTTCTCTCAGTGTCCCATCTTGGGAATGATATTCAGAAGGCCACTTTCACTTTCAGCTTTATACACTTGTACTGATCAAAATATAGATAGGTGACAGATTAGATAGAAGATGATAGATAGATAGATAGATAGATAGATAGATAGATAGATAGAAAAAGGTTGTTCTCATTTTAGGAGAACCAAGCCCAGGTCACTGACTTTTCCTTTGGGGCTTCCTGGCTTGCCATTTGTCAGAACTGTTCTCAGATCATCACAGCCCTACACATGGCTCAGGACACAGGGAGTTCAGATCATACTTACTGTGCTGAATTACTTTCCAGAGGGGATTATCAGAATAAGAATGGTTAAATAGTGGTAAAGGCCTGTGTAAATGAGGAATGTGTGCTGTTGGTACTTGTCTGCTTCCTTTCTTTGCTTCTAAATGTGGTTATTTGTCTTTTTAAAAAAGGTATGGTTTCCGGAAGCCACCATATGTGGAGCTGAAAGCTCGGCCAAAACTTGGAGAGAGAGAAGTGACTTTAGTTCATGTGACAGACTGGATAGAGAAGAAACTGGAGCAAGAGTTTCAGGTACACCTGCACTGTCATCTCGTGTTGCACACCAAGGCTAGCTCTGGGTAGAGAACAGAGGCTCTGAACTTCATGTGGGTCAGGATCCTCCTCTGAGGAGCCTCATCCCAGGAAAGTACACATATGATCAAACAGGTGTAAACTTCAGGTGGTTTCAGAAACTCTGAACTCATCCACAGCACACTGTTCAGTGGTCTTCAAAAGGGAACCCCAAAAGGTAGGGCCAAAGAACAAAATGATCATCTTCTACCAGTAGGCTTGGCGAAGGTTAAGCCCTTTGCCTGCTGGGTCCATCTTTGGATTTTGTGGGCCCGGAAATTGGCCAGCTAGTAGCACCCACCCATGGTCAGCAAAGTTGCTCCCGCTCTGTGTGATACCCACTTTGCTCAGTTTGTTCATTCTTTAGAAACCCTTCTGTGAACAGCTACCCCTGTCCCTGGAGTCTAAAGATGCACCAGACCCGTCCCTCCCCTGTGGATCTTCTAGAGCAGTCTTAGAGTTTCCTAAGAGCTCATTCTCCAAGCCTGTCTTCTGCGTTCTCCACCAAAAGTTAATAGCAATGTAGCCCAGGCCCTGGGATGAGCTATTTTTATCCAATTTTAATCAGATATTTGAGGCACAGTTGTCTCTCAAGGTTTTATCTATTAGCAACTTATTTACTTTGTACTGAGTTTCACCTGTAAAATACATGTATTTTCGTAGAGGTAAGTTTTGAGTTACTGCCATGGAAGCTTATGATTTAAAAAGCTATAGATTAAATATAACAAAACCGATTTCTGGAAAGTTTAATATCACCAAAAAGAAAAGTGAAAAAACAAAACATTTTCTACATGGCTGTTCTTTCTTCCTACAGAAAGTGTTTGTCATGCCAAACATGGATGATGTGTATGTCCCTATAATGCACTCAGCCATGGACCCTCGCTCCACTTCCTGCCTCCTCAAAGACCCACCCGTGGAGGCTGCTGACCAGCTGTGATGGGTAAAGACCTGACATTGCCAGTGTTGAGATCTAGATCCAGGTGCGGGGTTCTTGGCTGCCTGCCTGCTGTCGCACAGGCCTTTCCTCACCACAGCTTCTGCCCTCTGCCTGCCAGTGCCCATTCCACTGTGAGGTGTCATTCCATGCATCCAGCAACTGGTGTCTGGATTGCCTACTGCAAAACTTTGACTCAAAGGAGATTGGAAGAATCAAGGTGGATCCAGAGGTTTTGTGACTCATACCATGGCTTTGAGTCTACCAGTTTTTGTGGCAGCAAGAGCACATTAAGAGCAAAGCTACAATTGGAAGGCTTCCTTCCCCTTGTCTCAACTCCAAAGCTTTTCCTCAGGCAGCCAGAGCACAAGTGGAACATTTTCTCACTCCTAGTTTATGTGATGCAGCCCTCCGCATTTTGAGAATGTCAATGTGGTACCATGTGGAGGGTGGGGAATGGAATTTTGTAAACGATTTCATTGGTGATAAAGATATGCATAGCAACTTACTTTTCTTCATGTTAATTTGTCTTGGAAGCAAGTAGCCATAGAACATACACTGACACAATATCAAACTATCCCAAGCCTTTTACCAATGATGTATAACCACCTGGTTCTAATCCCAAATAATTTCCTGACAGCACATAAAAACGTTAAACACCACATCATGACCAGGTCTTCTAGTGTGCTCCAGGAAACTTTATAGGTACGCAAAGGCTTTGCTCATCTAGTTTGGGATCTATTGTGGTCAGTTTCCTTTTCTGATGACCCAAACTTAACATGTTATCACGAGTCAAGACCAAAAGCCTGCTCATCAAACACTACATATCTCAAAATTAATGTGACATTCTTCAACGTTGCCAACTTTAATTTGTGCATTTGTGTCAGAATGTTTCGTTTACAAGTGTGGAGGCCCTAATTGTATAATTTGCTTTGAGAATTTAAAGTTTAAAGCTGCATTCAACATCAAAATTACCTTGGGTAACTTTTGATAATTTATGTGTACTAATAGTGTTTTTTTAAACAGCACCCTGCCTGAACATGACTTTAAAGAAATTGATATAGTGAAAAAAATACCTGAACCTTTACTTGATTACTTTAATTGGACCATTAACCATTTGACTTAAATTTGACCATCCCAGTCAGCGTGCTGTTCCAATTTCTCATTGTGTAGGCCAGTTTGCCAGTCAGTCCGCATGTCTTGTTCACTGGTCTTTATAATTTCTGTGCAATAACTGAAGGCAGAGGACTAGATGCACTACTGTGTATTGTAAAGAGATGACACATGACTGTACCCTATTGCACTTAAAATAGTATATGGGGGATTTACAATTGCTTGCATTCTTTCACAAAATAAATCTCATGTCAAATACTAGATAAAGGCATCTGTTATTTCTACTGAATCCTAATTAAATAGGGACACGTGGGCACTATTTCCTGGGTGATCATTGGACCAGCATTCTTAAGGATCCCAGGTAGTCACCACACCCGACATGAGGTAAGTGCTATTATCCTTAACTCATTGGACCAGCATTCTTAAGGATCCCAGGTAGTCACTCACCACACCCGACATGAGGTAAGTGCCATTATCCTTAATCCACATTTAATCTGAGGGGAACAGTTTTGAACTGTATTGCCCAGTAGTCCTGTTTCTTGGGGCTCCCTCCAGGTGCCAATGCAGTTTATTCTGCACCTGTGCTTCCTCCTACTCAGAAGTGATGCAGCTTAGATCGTTCAATTAGAATCTGGATTACAGCCCTAACCGGTTTGGCTCAGTGGATGGAGTGTCGGCCTGTGGACTGAAAGGTCCCAGGTTTGATTCCAGCCAAGGGCATGTACCTTGGTTGGGTGCACATCCCCAGTAGGTGTGCAGGAGGCAGCTAATCGATGTTTCTCACTCTCTATCCTTCTCCTTTCCTCTGTGAAAAATCAATAAAATCTATTTTTTTTTAAATCTGGATTACAAAGGAGTGACTGTGCAATTATCAAGGTGCCCATGTTGTGCCCAGTAAACCATAAAAATCTAACCTTCACAGCTACACTGTTCTGTTTAGGTTAACTGGACTGGGACACATTTCACCCAACGCTTTAGCCCCACAGTATCCAAACAAGCAGTTGGTCCTTAAATTTACCCCTTAGCCAGATTAAATCCTTCCACATCACGACCGAAGCCGGTTCCTATCGAGTACACCACGCCCTTAAGCTGCTCAAGGCCACAGCCCGTTTCTTTCTCTACCGCCACGCACACCGCGGTTAACTTCAGGTGCATGTGTGTCTCACTGACGGAGAGCCGGGACTTGCAGGGCAAGCACAGGAAATGGGGGGGGGGGGCACTTGGTAGCAGAGCCTACAGGATCCCCAATGTCTCCTTAGGGCATTTCAACCTCAGCTCAAAGGCTGGGTCGGTCAAAACCCCCGGAAAACCCGACCCCGATAGAGCGTGCGGCCGTGTCGCTCGCGGTTAAAAGGGCCGCCGGCAGAGCGCCGTAGGCCCCAGTTATGCGCAAGCAGCTGCTCTGGCGCTGCAGCCTGACCCCCGGCGCCACACGCAGGCGCAGCGGGGGCTCAAAGGCAGCGCGTCACGACAAGAAACACAGACACCAGTGGTAGGAACAATCTGTTTTATTGAGAGCCTTCAGGGAAGGGTCGAAGCGCTGGGAGGGCAGTGGATCCGACGTCCTCGGCCGGCCGGACCTGCAACGAGAGCGGGGGAGTAAGCGGGTGCGCCCCCGCCGGCTTGTTCCCTCCTCGCCCCGCCGGCGGCCAGGCTCAGACTCTAGTTCGCATCACCCTTGTCAGCAGTCTAACACGTGCTTTGATTGATATGTCATCACCGCTGGCCACTCGCCTCCCACCCGGCTCCACGGCCCGAACACCCGAGGCCTGCCCGCCACAACCCACCGCACAGACCGCCTCACCTCGCAAGCTTACAGCCGCCGAAAGACGGAGAAGCTCCCACGGCTTCTACTTAAAGAAGCAGGCAGGGTGCTTGGGCGGGCCTTACTGTTATTAACCAATAGCAAGTCAAACTTCCGGCCACGTGCCTGGAAAGTGGCCTAATGATTGGCCGTGCTCGCTGAGTCCTCCAGAATATAGAGTGGTTACAAGCCAACCATGGAGCTGGGAGGCTAGGAGAGTCCTAAATTATTCCCGATTTCTTTCCAGGTCTCGGTGGCGGGCTGGTAATTAGCGCGTCTCTCTATGGCCCACAAAAGAAAACTTTACAAACAACAGGACGCAAGTAATGCCTAATTGTCTGGGATACTCTGTGCCAGTAACTAGGTTCGGAGCTGTGGCTACAAAGGTGGCAAACGAACCTTGTCCCTGAATTCACTGTAACCTTTTCCGGTAGGAAGAGCTTGTGTGGAGGAAAGGAGAATGGTGTGCAACCAAATCTGGATAGTGTGATGAGTTCCTCTATGACCTTGGTCACTTAACCTTTCTGAGCCTCAGTTTCTGAAAAAGAATATCCAAAAAAAGTTGTAATGATTAAGGGGATTAATGCCAATCGCCCGGCACATTCTGAGTGGTAAACAAATTTTTGTTTTTAGAGGACTTTTTTGATGTGGAAAACGTATGTGGTTCCAAAACTTTAATAAACTCTAAGATAGCAGCCTACTGTGGAAGCCCAAAGGAGAGAAGGCCTACCTTTAGGAAAGTTAAAAGTTGCTAAATATTGAGCTCATACTGTGAGCCAGGCACACTATTCACCAGTGGACATAGGAATATGACCCTGTGCTCTAAGAGCTTCGTTTACTGGGAAAAGGAACAGTAAACAGTCACAATTTCTGGTTATCTTCATTTCCTTCATATGTTTTCCTTGGGAATTCTTTTTTCCTCTTAATAAGGGAAATGTTTTTTGGTGTGTGTGTGTGTAATGATGAAACATTTCAACCTACGAGTCTGTAGTTGAACGGGCCTCTTATTTTTATTTTTTACAGTCTTTAGTTAAATTTTAAAATTCCTATTTGATTTAGAGCAGTAATTATTTTGGTAAGTGTTTTGTCACTTCTATATGATTATTTTTTTGTTGTTTAAACATGTGTTATTAATATCAATTTTATTACAGTGTGGTACAGTTTCTACACTGTAAGTGTATGTGGGAAATGTATTTAAGTTTTTTGAACTAGAATATGATCTATTTTTATATATTCCACAGATTCTTGAAATGAAGATGGTTTTACTATCATCTGCAAATGTTGACATGAAATATTTATCAATTCAGCCTTAGCTGTGTTGCAGTTATATTGTTTATATCTCTGTATTTTATAGTTGATTGTGAGTGTATGCTCTGTCATTGATTGATAGTGATGTGTTAAGATTATGCTTCAAATACCAAATGCTGGTGAGAATGCAAAGCAACAAGAAATTTGCTCCATTACTGTTTGGGAACACAAAATAGTACAACCATTTGGAAAAGAAATCAGACAGCTTTTTTTTGTTTGTTTTTTTTAAAAAATATATTTTATTGATTTTTTACAGAGAGGAAGGGAGAGAGAGAGTTAGGAACATCGATGAGAGAGAAACATCGGTCAGCTGCCTCCTGCACATCTCCTATTGGAGATGTGCCCACAACCCAGGTACATGCCCCTGACCGGAATCGAACCTGGGACCCTTCAGTCTGCAGGCCGACGCTCTATCCACCGAGCCAAACCGGTTTTGGCGAAATCAGACAGTTTTTATAAAGTTAAACATACACTTACTCTATATATGACCTAGCTGTCCCTAGGTTTTTACCCAAGAGAAATGGAAATTTATGTTAACACAAAATCCTGTACACAAATGTTTATAACAACATTATTCATAATCCCCTCTCCCCCCAAACTGGAACAACCCCAAAGTCCTTTACTGGGTGAATGGTAAGCAAATTGTGGTACATCCATACAATTGAATGCTACTCGGCAATAAAATAGAATAAACTATTGATGCATGCAACACTTGTAAGAGTCTCAGAAGCATTATGCTGAGTGAAAGGAGCCAGACTCAAAAGATGGTATGATTCCATTTATAGAACATTCTAAAAAAGAAAACTATAAGGATGGAGAACAGATCAAAGAATTTCCAGGAATTGGGCAGGGGAGGGGATGGGGGGAGCAAGTGGGGGAGAGATATGACCACAAAGAGCAGCACGAGAGCATTTTGAAGGGTGATAGAACTGTTCTGTATCTTGATTGTGGTGGTGGTTACAAGACTTTATGCATTTGTCAAAACTAGTAGAACTGTTCGCCCAAAAATTTATTTTTACTGTGAAATTTAAATATTAAAATTAGCCCAGCCAGCATGGCTCAATGGTTGAGCATCGACCTATGAACCAAGAGGTCACGATTCAATTCCCAGTTAGGGCATATGCCCAAGTTTCGGGCTCCATCCCCAGTGTGGGGTGAGCAAGAGGCAGTCGATCAATGATGCTCATCATTGATGTTTCTCTCTCTCTCCCTCTCTCTTCCTCTCTGAAATAATAAAAATATATTTTTTTTAAAAAATAAATTGTGCTTCAGTCATTTTCCTTGATTTTTTCTACTATTCTTTGTTTTGTATATTTTGAGGCTATGCTGTTTATCTCATTGTGGTTGGTGACTGATAACATTTCCATTGTGGATTACATATATTTATGTATGAGACAACACACTAAACTATTATGGTTTTTGCCTTGAATTCTAATTTATCTTACATTAGATTAGCAATGCTACTTCTGTCTTTTTTGTGTGTGTCTATGTTTGTCTGGTATAACTGTCTATCTATCCCTTTATTTTTAACCTTTCTATGTGATTTTGGTTAATGTGTCCTTTGTAGTAGGCATATGGTTGGATTATAGTATTTAGCTCAATCTGGTAAGATATGCCTTTTAAAAATTCATTTAAAAATTTTATTATGGCCTTGGTTGGTGTGGCTCAGTTGGTTGGAGTGTCATTCCTGGCACCAGAAGGTCACCAGTTTGATTCCCAGTCAGGGCACATGCCCCAGTTGCAGATTTGGTCCCCAGTCAGGGTGTGTGCAGGAGGCACCGATCCATGTGGCTCTTTTCTCTCTCTCTCTCTCTCTCTCTCTCTCTCTCTCTCTTTCTCCTCTCTCATCTCTCTCTCCCTCCCACTCTAAAAGTTAATAAAAATTTTAAGTTTTATTATGAAATAACTCTGCATACAGGAGTACATATAAAGTGTATGTATGGTTGAAGATAATTAATAATTGAATATTCTATACTTACCACTTAATTTAAGAAAAATGGCATCAGTAACTTTGAAGTAACTTTGCCTCTTCTGATTCTTCCTCACTCAGAGAAAACCACCATCCTGAATTTTGAGTTTGTCTTGTTTTGCTTTTCAATTTTTCTTCATATTTTGTATATTATTTAGTCTTGCTTGATTTTGAGCTTTATAGAATATATATAGAATATACTGTATAAATTCTTCTGTGGCTTGCTATTTTTATTGCTTAATATTGGTGATGTTCATGTTATTGCATGTAAAGCAACCAGTAATTGTAGTAATACAACCAAGGTAGCATTTCAGTACACAGTTATTCTACATTTTACACATCTATTTTCTTTATATTAGATGTTTAAAATAGCTTCCAGTTTTTACTATTATAAGCTATTACAAAGCTACTTCGAATATTCTTGTGTGTGCATAAGTTCCTTTAGAGTATGTACATAGAAGCACAATTGCTGTGTGGTAGGGTAGGCACATTTCCAACTTTCATAATAACAAATTATTTTCCAAAAATAATGCACTCCCACATTGGCCTACACCCTCACCAATTCTTGATACTGTCAGACTTTATATAGTTTGCCATATGGTCAGTGTAAAATGGTATTATAATCAGCCATAGGCCAGGTGTAGTCATATACATCATTGATTTGGTGCTCTTAGGAATGCTGAGCCAGCATTTCAATCAGGGTTCATTGATTTAAGTTGCCCAACTCAAACTAGCTGGGGCAAAAAGGGGAAGGTTTTGTTAAATGGGAGGAGAGCTGGGCAGCCTGATCTCGAGCCAACTAGAATCAAACTCAAGCTTGTCCAGGGCTCCCTGACTGCATTCATGCTTCTCTCTATCTGCCATCTTGCTTTTGAATTGGCTTTCTTTGCAGGATGGAGGAGGCTCCTGGGCCTCACACCTCCTGGCTTTGCCACTAGAAAGGAAACGAGGCTCTTTTCATGGTTCTAACCGGAGTCAGATTGGGTACAAGCCTACTCATGGGTCATGTAAAGGTGGCCAGATGGGTAGCTGTTTTGGTTATCTATTACTGCACAATAAACCACTCTGTAACTCAGTGATTTACATTTTACACATCTATTTTCTTTATATTAGATGTTTAAAATAGCTTCCAGTTTTTACTATTATAAGCTATTACAAAGCTACTTCGAATATTCTTGTGTGTGCATAAGTTCCTTTAGAGTATGTACATAGAAGCACAATTGCTGTGTGGTAGGGTAGGCACATTTCCAACTTTCATAATAACAAATTATTTTCCAAAAATAATGCACTCCCACATTGGCCTACACCCTCACCAATTCTTGATACTGTCAGACTTTATATAGTTTGCCATATGGTCAGTGTAAAATGGTATTATAATCAGCCATAGGCCAGGTGTAGTCATATACATCATTGATTTGGTGCTCTTAGGAATGCTGAGCCAGCATTTCAATCAGGGTTCATTGATTTAAGTTGCCCAACTCAAACTAGCTGGGGCAAAAAGGGGAAGGTTTTGTTAAATGGGAGGAGAGCTGGGCAGCCTGATCTCGAGCCAACTAGAATCAAACTCAAGCTTGTCCAGGGCTCCCTGACTGCATTCATGCTTCTCTCTATCTGCCATCTTGCTTTTGAATTGGCTTTCTTTGCAGGATGGAGGAGGCTCCTGGGCCTCACACCTCCTGGCTTTGCCACTAGAAAGGAAACGAGGCTCTTTTCATGGTTCTAACCGGAGTCAGATTGGGTACAAGCCTACTCATGGGTCATGTAAAGGTGGCCAGATGGGTAGCTGTTTTGGTTATCTATTACTGCACAATAAACCACTCTGTAACTCAGTGATTTAAAACAACAGCCATTTTATTGTCGCTCACAGAATGACCTCAGTTAACTGGACTCAGCTGGGAGATTCTTGTGCTCCATGTATCAGCTGAGGTCACCCAGGGGCTTGCCTGGGCTGGAACATTCAAGATGGCTCAACCAGGTGTCTGGCAGCTGGGACCTCAGCTGGAGCTGTTGATTAGAACAACTCCTTTCTCCACGTGGCCTGTGTCTCGATGGCTTGGGTTTCTAAGCTAGCTTCCAAGAGGGAGCTCCAAGAGTTAGTATTCTAAAAGGAAGGAAATGAAGCTGCCAGGCCTCTTAAATCTGTGATGAGAGGTCCCTGAATATCACTTGTGCCCACAACGAGTCACAGGCCCAGTCCAGAGTGAAAGCCAGGGAGCCCTAGCTGGTTTGGCTCAGTAGATAGAGCATTGGCCTGCAGACTA